TTTGCTCCCCTCTGGACTGCAAAGTGTTTTCCCAGGTGGGTCCAGTGGGGATGGCTGGTTGAACCCAGAGGCTCCATCCTCCTTTGCTTCCTTAGCTGGCAGTTGTAGTCCCTTTTTGTCACTGGCACGTTCAGGATCAGGTCTGGAGTAAAATTCAGTGTTAAAGTTACCTATAGGAAAGGGAGCAAACCTTCAACAATCCATTGTATCTTGGCTCCAAGAATTCTCCCCAGAGCAAGTCTACTTTGCGGCAGTATGGCGGCTCCTCTGCACCAGTCTTGGGGAGGCCCGGTGCCCACCATCCATCCTAGGTGAGGGATTCCATAGGTTCCGGCTGTGGGAGCTTCATGGAGCTGCAGCAGCAGTGCGGCCTGGTGTAGGCTCTGTGGGAGGGGATTGGGAGCTGCGAGACTCACCCATTCCTCCTTGGGAATCCTTGAATTCCTGTTGTTGAGCCTCAATCTTCACTGAAGACCAGTCTTCAACTGCTTAACTGTTCAATTATCAATAAACAGAGGTCTGTAGAAGGCCACAGTGGCCCTGCTCCAAGTGATCCACTGCTCCCACAGCTCGCCACGTTGTCTCTGCCTCTGCCGCCATCTTGGATCTCCCCAAGATCAAATTTTAATTCCTATGGATATGATTTGACCTTCATTAGCTTTAATTTGAACTTGCACCTAGCCTAGTTTTCACTGCTGATATTTAACTTCTCCAAAGATTCCTTTCACAGATGCAATAGATCTGATACCTGTGCATAGCATCAGGTGAAATCCATGTGTATAGCCTATGTTTATATTTTTTATAAAAGTTATTTTTAATGAATAAATAATCAATTGTGCAAAATTCTATCATTCTATCCCCAACCTCGTTTATGTCACCAAGTCCATGTCTTCCTACTACTGATACTTCTTCCTGATTCCCTGAATTAAAAGACCAACTCAGGAATGGGTTTGAAGCCTTGAACACTAATGAGTGAAGACCAGATAAGCTGTGGGAGGATATCAAGACTATCATCCAGGAAGAATGCAAAAGGTCATTACAAAGATGGAGGAAGAAGAAAAAACCAAAATGGATGTCAGAAGAGACTGAATATTGCAGTAGAGTACCAAGAATGAAAGCAAAGGGAAGAAATCAAGAAGTTAAGGAGGTGAAAAGAAGATTTCAAAGGGCAGCTCGGGAAGACAAAGCAAAGTATTATAATGAAATGTGAAGAGAGCAGGAGTCAGAAAATCAAAAGGGCTGAACTCACACAGCATTTCTTGAGCTAAAGGAACTAAAGAACAAATTCAAATGCACATCCATGTTTATTGCGGCTTTGTTCACAATAGCAAGGAGTTGAAAACAACCCAAGTGTCCATCAACAAACGAATTGATAGAAAAGCTCTGGTATATTCACACAATGGACTACTATACTGCATTGAAAAACAAGGAACTCATGCAATTCAAAATGGGTGACTCTGGAAGACATTATGCTGAGTGAAGTATCTCAGTCACAAAAGGACAAATACTGCATGGTGCCACTGTTGTAAAACAGGACTGACCTTGGGGTTGGGGAGAGACTGAGAAAGATGGGTTCAACAATGTATACTACATTGAAACAGATGAGGGAGAAAACTGTTTAAAAGGGATATGTGATTAGATATTTTTGTCATGACAGGAGTCTAGAGTGAAGGGTGCATAGTGGAGTGTCCTTGGGGGGAGGGATTGTAAAATAATGAAAGAATTTGTCTTTTACTTTTCCAAGAGGGTAGTGTACTAGGGAGGAGGGTTGGGAGGGGAGAAAAGTGCAACAATAAATGAATGGAAATGCAAAGTCTCTGTAAATGTTTACGGAAATTAATAATAAATTTAAAAGAAAAGAAAAGAAAAAATATTTAAAAAAGGACCAAATTCAAGCCATGAGCTGCAATGTTTAAGGACGCTGTGGACAGAATATTGAATGATCCAGGAAGCATTAAAAGAAGATGGAAGGAGTATACAGAGTCACTGTACCAAAAAGAATTGGCTGACAGAAGAATTTAAAGAAACAACATATGATCAAGAGGCAATCATAATGAAGAAAAAGGTTCAAGCTGCTCTGAAGGACTTGGCAAAAGAAAATAGAGCCCCAGGAATTGATGGGATATCAATGGACATGTTTCAACAAACAGATACTGGCCTGGATGTGCTCACTAGGTTGTGCCAAGAAATCTGGAGGACTGCTACCTGGTCAACTGGAAGAGATCCATATTTATTCCCATTCCAAAAAAAGGTGACCTGACAGAGTGTGGAAATTATTGAACAATATCACTAATATTACACACTAGCAAAATCCTGCTAAAGATTATCCAGAAACGACTGGAACAGTACATTGACAAAGAACTACCAAAAATAAAAGCCGAGTTTAGAAGAGGTCCTGGTATTAGAGACATTATCTCCAACGTCAGATGGATCTTGGCACAAAGCAAAGAGTACCAGAGAAATGTCTATCTGTGTTTCATTGACTATGCAAAGGCATTTGACTGTGTGGATCACAACAAATTGTGGATAACCTTGAGGAAAAGAGGCTTATACAATTGCTATACTTGGACCAGGAAGCAGTCCTCAGAACAGAGCAAGGAAATACTGTACGGTTTAAAATCAGGAAAGAAATGTGTCAAGGATTCATCCTGTCTCCATACCTTTTAAATCTATATGCAGAACAGATTATTTGGGAAGCAGGAATTTATGAGAAGGAATGTGGCATTAGGATTGGAAGACTCATCAACAACCTATGTTAAGCAGATGACACAACCTCACTTGCTGAAACCGAAGAGGACCTAAAGGGCTTGCTGCAGAAGGTCAAAGACTGTAGTCTACAATGTGGATTGAAGCTCAACATCAAGAAGACAAAGATTCTCACCATTGGGTCAATTGGCAGTACCATGATGGATGGAGAAGAGATTAAAGTTGTTAAAAATTACAGCTTACTCAGCTCCACAATCAACACTCTTGGTACCAGCAGCCAGGAAATCAAAAGACTAATTACATTTGGAAAATTCGCTGTCAAGGACCTCTCCAGAGTACTGAAAAGCAATGATGTCAGTCTAAAAATTAAAGTATGCCTAATCCAGGCCATTGGAAGCAGGAGCGGCATCCACTTCCGAAATGGCTTGCCTCCGGAAACTATGTACAATCAGTGCTCAGGCTGTTCGTTCATAGGGTCGCTATGAGTCTTCTACGACTCGACAGCATTAAACAACAATAACAATGACGATGACCAAGAGAGAGCTATGTTGGCCTAGTGGAAGGGAAGCTGTGCTACCAAGCCGAAGGTGGGTGATTTTCATCTGTGGCCCTCGGCCAGGTTCAAATTGTCTTCCTGTCAAACATTCTTCTAGGTGGTATAGCACTGGTCTGTGTGTTGCTGTACAGAGGTAACTCGTGGTTGCTGTGATGCTGAAGACTGGGACAGTGATGTGCCAGTCGTGGTAACGGGTACCCATGGTGGACAGTGTTGGCTGGAGCTTCCCTACTAAATCAAGCCTGGAAGTAGGAGCAGCATCCACTTCCGAAATGGCTTGCCTCCGGAAACACTATGTACGAACAGTGCTCAGGCTGTTCGTTCATAGGGTCACTATGAGTCGTCTATGACTCGACGGCATTAAACAACAACAACAACAACAATCCAGGCTATGGTCTTTGCAATTACTTGTTAGGCACGAGAAAGCTGGAGAATGACTAAGGATGACAGAAGAAGAATGGATGCCTTAGGTGCTGGAGAAGAGTCTTGAACATACCATGGACCGCCAAGAAAACAAATAGATTTGTCCTAGAGAGGGTAAAATCAAGTTTCTCCTTGGAGGCTAGGATTTTGAAGCTCCCTCTCATATATGTTGGAGACATGGACAGGAGAGACTGGTCCTTGGAGAAGGACATCATACTTGGAAGAGTGGAGGGACAGTGCAAGAGAGGAAGACCACGGATGAGATGTATTGATACAGTAACTGGGGCAATGAGGGTTAGTGTGTCAGAATCAGTGAGACTGGCTCAGGATAGAACAAGCTTCAGAGCTCCTGTACGTGGGGTCACTATGGGTTGCAGGTGACTCGACAGCACATAACAACAAACAATAAACAACAACATTTGATGCATAGATGGTGACCAATGTTATGTCTTCTTGACCTATTGTGCCTTTAATCATTATATAGTGTCCTTCCTTATCTTTTATCGTGGTCTTCATCCTGAAGTCTATTTTATCAGTGGTTGGTATTACTACACCTCTTTTTTATGGATGTCATCTGTCTGGTTTATTTTTCTTCCAGCCTTTGCTTTTCAGTCTATGTTTCTTCATTTCTTAAATTTGTTAACATATTGATGTACTTTGGTTTTTTAATCTGTTCTGCTACTCTTTTCCTCTTAATTGTTGCATTTAATCTATTCAAATTATGTGTGACTACTGATAGGACAGGTTTTTTTGTTTTGTTTTTTTTTAAAATAAAAATTTTGTGTAAAATATAATTCAAAATCTGCAAAGCATAAAATAGCAAAATGAAATGAGATACTGCTCTGGAAAGACCCTGGGTAGGGACTTTCACTGCTAATGGGATGAGACCAACAGGGTAAACTAGGGTGTAGGGTTAACGTGGGAGATGCTGGAACTGATGGTGACTTCCCATGTTTCTGTCAACCCACTGAGTCAGACTGTATCTTGGCCGCAGAGATGTATGTCGGAACTGTGCGTAGTTCCGCCTGGTGAGGTCTGAAGGATGCTGCCATGAGTTCTGCACATGATGTACTTGGTCCATCAAGGCATACAGCTCCCCCAAGGCACCTTGGTTAGAATCCACAGGGTCTTCTATATAAGCAATAACATTCCTGAGATAAATTTGCTTCTGTTGCTCTAGCTCGGACTGTGAAAACGTTGGAACGTTAGTCCTTGATTTGTTTTGCAGAACAGGAATGACTTTTCCTAGTCTTCTTTCTTGGACTTCGATCTTCCCAGAATCCTTGTTAGGAACATCCTCTTTGCTGGAAACAACAGGAAATTTCATTTCACTACTTGATTTATGCAATCCACCGTTTGTCCAGGATGACTCTGCACTAGGATTCTCTGAATGGTCCAAGACCTTCTCAACATGCCCAATGTTATCTTTAAGCAATCTATCTCCCCTAGAAAAGGGTTCATTTGGTAGGTCATCATCCTTCAATAGCTCCTGAATCTCTTCCTCCGTGCAACTGAAATGGCCATCATCTTCCTCTCCATCAGATAGTTCCAGCAACGAGTCATCCAATTCATCCTCATCTAAGGAGCCCCAAGAAAAGGTACCAGAAGGCTGTTC